TTTTTCATTAATTCAATTTTATATTAGTCTAAAATAACATTAAGGGTTTGAAAACTACAACACAAGGTAATATATTAATCATTGTAGGATTTATGGCATTATAGGAGTTGATCCCTTTTAATAAAGATATTATGTATTATAAAATTTAATTGAACTCATGATTTTACAATTTTATATTTTGAGAAGTGAAGCCAGTGGAGGACATTTGAGAAATTTAGTTAGTTAGGCTTTTCCTGAGAAGATAGGTTCAAGTTTGCACAAACAATTATATCATATTAATATTATTTTACATGGTGATAAAATCTGGGCAAAGACAAATAGCTGTTTTTAAGTGAGTTTTATTTGTCCAAGGATTTTATATGAACTTTTCCTGTATAATTAATTATATACTAGATATTAAAACTTTAAAGTTTAAGAACATTTTTTTTTCTTGGTTAACCAAGGACATTAATTAAACTCACAGCTAGTCTTTGTTTTCCCTTGAATGTACATCTTGTGGCAAGACCATTGTTTTCCTTACACAGTACATTCAAATTATAAAAAGTAAAGAAATCTCAGAAGTCTCTGGGTTTTTTTTCATTTAATGTGAAATAAGCACTCACCCTTTTAATAATGATTTTAGTATGCTAACTGAAATAAGATCTTGTTTCAGTTTATTTTATTCTGATAGATTAATACAGTCTATACATAGACATGATATACCAATCTGTTTGCTCAAAAAATATTTTGTATTCATAAAATGGAAAAATTTTACCCTCCAAGAACTTCGAGAATGTAATTATGATAAAGCAGCAAAAAAACCCAAAAACACTTAATCACCATTAGATTCATCATTGCTGAGTATGTTGGTTTTAAATATATTACCACAAATTCTTTAAGATTCTTTCCTTGAAGAGTTACAATCCAGTTCCCTTCTACTTGTATGTGTCTGACTTAATGACTTACTTCTAACAAATAAAGTAGAGATCATGGTGTGTGACTTCAGAAACTAGGTCATAAAAAGGCACTGCAGCTTCCATCTTGGTTGTGTCTTCCTCGAATCTCTTGCTTTGGAGGAAGCCAGCTGCCGTATCATGAGCAGTCCTCTGGAGAGACCCAGACGGCAAGGAACTGAAGCTTCCTGCTAGTAGCCATGGAGTGAAGTTCAGTGATCCTCCAGTCTCAGTTAGGGCTTCAGTTGACAGCAGCCTAGCCGATATCTTGATTGCAGCCTCAAGAGATTAGAACCATCCAGTTAAGCCACTTGTAAATTTGTGATCCACAGAAAGAAAGATAATGAATGTTCATTGTTTTAAGGTACTATACTTTGGGATAATGCATTATATGGCCAAAGATAACTAATAGACTAAGAATTGTGATTTGCAGGAATTTGGAGAGATATTATATTTCTAATGTCCGTATCTTGTACAATAAAGTCATTGAGTTTTCTTTGTTTTTAAAAAAGCTAAACTTACTTGAAGTTTAGAAAATATTAAATATTGTTTTGTTTGGCTTTTGGAAACCATCATTTTTCTGAGTGTCTAATTTATAATTAAGTTTCTTTACTGTCCTTTGTTTTGCTTCAGAATTCCAAATTAATATTAACTTGCAGTTACTCATTTATTTAGAGAAACTGAAGAAAGCTGACCATTGAACGTTAAGATCTTGTTTCCTTTCATCTTTGGTATAGGAATTTGATTTTTGTAGATATTGACAGGTATTTGCCCCATTATAAGTAAACATGAAGAAACCTTAAGCTTTGGATGGGGAAAGAAAGCTCTGGCTATTAGAGTAACGGAGCTTATATCAGCACATTTAAAAACAAACATAAACAGAACACACCAATAAGGAAATGAGATTGCAGATTCCCAGTTAGCTGCCATCTGCCCAGGATACTGTCATCTGGCAGAAATTATATAATAGGTCATAAAATCAAAACCTATTTCCTCCACTGCTGCCATCTGTGTGGAAACTATTGTCCATGTGTTCAGTTCTAGTCGGAACCAGAAAGAGGCTTTATGAGCAGTGTATGCTCAGATGTATGTATGCATGTATGTATGTAATCTCTATACACAATGTGGGGCTCCAAGTGACAACCCAAGATTAAGAGTTGCATGCTCTACCGACTGAGGCAGCCAGGCACACCTCCAAAAATTTTTTTAAAAAGATCCTTTTATTAAAAAATTATACAAGGAATTGGGGCACCTGGATGGCTCAGCCAGTAGAGCATGCAACTCTTGATCTTGGGGTTATGAGCTCAAGCCCCACATTGGGGAGTAGAATTTACTTGAAAACACACACACACACACACACACACACACACACACACACACACACACGGAATCAAATGAAAAGTTAACAGTAGCAAGATTAAGATAATAAGACTCTAAATCTCAAATTGTTGTTAACATCAAGTGTGAAGCTTACATTTTATAATACTTTGACTTTCTGTAGCTCTAAGGAATTAAGGAATTAAATGCATTACATTTCAGGTATTAACTTCAAAGACTGAAAACAGTCCATGTTTCTAAGAGTCCTAAGGTACTCTCAACAGACTGCTTCACATTTTATAAAATTAGTTTTCAACTCTTTCAAAATACTTTTTTGAAAGTACTTTTTCTCTTTCACCCTAACTTCCTTTTCTCTTTAAAATTATTTTTAAGTTTGTTTGTTTCTTTTTGAGAGAGAGAGCAAGTGAGGGAGGGGCAGAGAGAGAGGGAGAGAGAGACTCTCAAGCAGGCACCGCACTGTCAGCGCAGAGCCCAGCGCAGGGCTGGAATCCACAAACTATGAGATCATGACCTGAGCAGAAACCAAGAGTCGGATGCCTAACCGACTGAGCCACCCAGGTGCCCTACTTCCTTTTTTCTTTAATTCATTATTTAGTCCCATGAAAGTTTATCCATGAAAATCATTTGTCAACTTTTAAGAGAAACGAAAAAGGGTCTCATTGGTGTGTCCTGTAGTCTACCTTCAGATATGTGCATATTTTTTCCATAGCAAAATTTATTAATCTCTGACTGACTTCTGCATTCTTAAATTCCACAGTCACACACATTCTCCATCACTACCACCGCCCCCAGTATTCCCATTCCCATCCTCACCACCACCACTAGTTGTTGTATGTATTTGGCATGTACAGTAATGTTCTGTTCTCTAAGCAGAAATTAATCACAGAGTAAATCTAATATGTATTCCATACTGTAGGATTATTTCTGGATTTCTCACTATTTTAATTTTTTTTTTCTTTTTTCAACGTTTTTATTTATTTTTGGGACAGAGAGAGACAGAGCATGAACGGGGGAGGGGCAGAGAGAGAGGGAGACACAGAATCGGAAACAGGCTCCAGGCTCTGAGCCATCAGCCCAGAGCCCGACGCGGGGCTCGAACTCACGGACCGCGAGATCGTGACCTGACTGAAGTCGGACGCTTAACCGACTGCGCCACCCAGGCGCCCCTACTATTTTAATGGACTTAGTATGTTCTTTTAATCAATCTAATCAGGAGCTGACCACAGTTTGTTTCATTTTTATTACACTTAATACAAACTACTATATAATCAGTAATAGAAATTGTAATATACTTTGAGAAAGTAAAATCGGGTCTTTTTCATTTGGGGCATTGTTTATTTTTCACTGATATTTTCTTGGTTAATTTTTGAAAGTGTTAACTGGTTTTTCACAAATTATAACATGTTATCTGAGGATCTGGTAGTTCATAGTTAAGTAGCTAAGAAGTTTTCAAATAGACATCTTTAATTTTATTGTTTCTCATTATTGTTTGATACTTGGCAAAGTTTGCAAAGAAGCATATTGAGAAGGCTGATAGTTTACCACATGTCTAGATTTGATTGTGTCTGTAAGCTCCAAATAAATATATAGATAGTACAATTTTTGTTAATTTTTTTTTTAGTTTTAAAGTTTATTTATTTATTTAATGTAATCTCTACATGAAATGTGGGGCTCAAACTCACAACCCCAAGATAAAGAGTTGCATGGTCTGTGACTGAGTCAGCCAGGCATATTCACTCAATTTTTTTAATGCTGTAGCCACATTGAATGTGAAATGATCTAGAACAATTGAGCTCATTATTGGTAAAGAAGTCTTGAACACTTGAATAATGTTCTCATTTAGTTCTTTAGCTATGATTAGTTCTTTTACTTCAGAATTCTATTCTGGCACTTTTGTACCTTAAGGATCAAAAGAGACATGTGAAAAAAAATTGGAAACTATGAAGTACTAGACTTGTATAAAGTATCACGTACTCAGTTTTAATTAAAAGTTCCCTCCTGAGGGAACCATGATATAGGTTACCATGTGTATATTTTTATTTGATATTACTATCAGTATTCTATAGTAAGTAAGACTAGTAGAGTGGGGTGCTTGCTGGTTCAGTGACCTTCAGTTACCATTTACTATTTAATGCTCAAGAATATCATAGTGTGATAGTCTACACTGCTGAATGAGAAATGTGCTTTGCTCTACTCAACTTGTTTTTTAGATGTGTGTCCCTTTACATTCTTTCCTTCCTAGCTGCCAGATGTGTACTTAAGGAAGTAAGGTACAGGGGAGTCTGAGTGGCTCAGTCGGTTAAGGTCTGACTCTTGGTTTCAGTTCAGGCCATAATCTCATCGTTTGTGTGTTCAAGTCCCACATTGGGCTGTGTGCTGACAGCGCAGAGCCTGCTTGGGATTCTCTGTCTCCCTGTTTCTCTATCCCTTCCTCACTCATGCTGTCTTTCAGAAATAAATAAATAAACATTTAAAACAAATGTAAGGTACAGGAAAGAGATGGGATAAAGTAATAAGGAGGCAAAATTAGCATTTCTATCATGGAATGAAAAATACTGTTGGTGTACCTACCATACTATATGTGGATGTTTATTTGTTTCATTGTATATTTGATAAATTTAATATTTTTCTTTTAGTCTGAATTTCATAATTGGGTCTAAGTTATTCTTTCATATTTATTACCAAGTAGATATAACACAAATTTGTTAATTTATTATCCTCTTCTCATAGTTTTCAGCATATGATTTCATCCCATCTCCAAAATTAAAGCCCTCTCAAGGAATGCCAGTCAATGATGATTTATGTTTTAGCAGAAAAAGAGTGTCAAGAAACTTATTTCAGAATAGTCGGGATTATAACCCAGATTCTCTTCCTGTGTGTGCTGCTGGTAAGTAAAAGGTTCAGGTAATAGACATGTTGAAACTAAGTTAAAAGTTTCTCTAAACTTAATAATTCATTCAAGAGCTCAAAGAATTTATAATCTAGTAGACAATTCAGATTCAATAAATATTTGTTATAGATCTGATAAGAATGGACACTTTGACATAATTGTATATATATATATATATATATATATATACTGCATATATACTATATATATATATGCAGTAAAATTCCATAATATTTTTACACAAAAATGATTGTTATAATGATTGTGTAGTTTAATGTTTATTTAATAGAGAAAAAGAAATGCAAGAATATATCCAGTTATGCTCATACCATTACTTGGATTTTTATAAGGCTCATGCTTTCTGTACCATTGAGAGCTCTTATCTAGTCACACAGATTTAAAATAACTAGAAAATAAGACAACATAAAACCTGATGCTAGACTGATATGAATTGTAAGTACTATTTAGGGATTTAAGAAAGGAAAATGTGATAGGTGTTGAAGTGGTTTAGGAAAGCTCCAGGAAAAGTTGGACTTGAGCTGGACCTTAAAGAAGGGAAAGGTTTGTGATTGATTGACACTGAGGCAAGAGAGACTGTTACAGATAGGGAGAAAGTACGATCAAAGCATGGAGATAAGAATTAACTTAGAAGATGTCTGGTACATGAAGGATAAAGGGGCTTAAAATATAGGGAGATAATTTTAAAAATCCCATACATAGAACTGTAAGGGATCCCTTGCTCAGGGATAACCTTATCTAGCCAAGGTAGAGGGAAAGAGATCTTAGAAATAAGCTTGGAAACCATGTGAATGCTGTGTTAGATGTTAGGAAAGAAAGTAGAATTCTGCGGTACAACTTTTTGTGCAATGTGTACTACAAATACTGGGAAGAAGAAAAGCCAGCACAAGAAACAACAGGTGTTGGCGGGGACAGGGAGAAAGGGGAACCCTCTTACACTGTTGGTGGGGATGCAAACTGGTG